GCCGGATGAAAACTCGCGCGACGAGCCCTCCCCCCTTCTGGTTTTCATTTAACTTCTCGAGAACGGCGCCGTTCCCGTCGAACCCACGGGATCCCGGTATTGAGCCTCGCCTCCGGAGGGAGGATCGTCGCGCCTAGGAACTCCCCCTACTTTCCGGGAGCTGGAGCGGTTACGCCGTGCGGCCCTGCGGAATCGCTGCGGGAAAAACTTGATGGGATACCCCTCACACCCCGGCGAGCCCAATAAACCGAAACTACCCCCCCTCGATTTAGGGTGGACTTTTAATCCCGCCTTAATTCACCGCACCCCGATCGGCGAATTTCTCTGAATTATCTCGCCTTAATTCCAACCCCCGAAGGAATTCCGCACCCCGATCGGCGAATCTTCCGATTTTCCGGGAAATCTGAGGAATCCAATTTTTTTTTCCTTCCTGGGGATTCCGAAGTCCCGGATCGCACGGCTGCATTTTACGCCGGGCCGGGGGGTGGCAGCTCCAGGGGGTGCAGTGAAATACGGGAGCCGGTCGTTCCCACAGGACGGGTCCCGGAGATCCGGGATAATACATTAGGGTGGCAATCATGCTAAGAAGCCGTCCCTCGGGCCAATTTTAATTCAGCGCCCCTAGTTTCGGGGAGGCTTCCTCGCAGTCCCGGGGACGACGCAGCGTCTTCGCCGCGTCGGAGGCGGCCAATTGGCTGAGCTTGCAGGGTCGAAAGGGAGCCTCCCGGAAGTCCCTCGGGAGAGGAGGCCACGAGGAACGAGCCTCGGGGTTGCCGACCCGATTACCCCTGGCCTCATCCCCTGTCGTCACTCTGTGCCGATTGGCTCGGCTTTCTTCGGCTTGTCGATAAACCAGATTGCAACCCCTGATAACAACCCCGTAGCCCCCCCCCCCTTTTTCTCGATTTACGATAGAAGGGTGAGGGACGATTTCTTATCGCCGATATTTTCATTTTCGTTTACATTTTCAGTATGACGAGTGCTTGATACGTAATCAAGGTTTCTTTTTTTTTTTCCAATTAAATTCTGGACCATAGGGGAATTTTTATTCTTATCTGCAGAATGTGGTGAATATTATACTTTTTTTAATTATGTCTTAACAGCTAAGCGAGTGATTTTTAATACGCGGAGGGGATACGTCTTAGGTCGGTCGGTCATCCCGACCATTGGGACGGGAAAATGGCCCCGGGGAGGTTCATTAAAAGCCGAGTCGTCCTGGACCGCCGTCTCGGCGGGAAATCCCGCGGGGTAGCTCCTCCTCTCTCTTTCCCTCTCGAAGTTGTAAGCCTCGGGGAGGATATTTTCGCGAGGACGGTAATCCGACCCGGCGGAAATAATCCCCGGGGATAATTCAGGGAGGATCGGCCGGGTCTCGGGGGGTAATCTCGGCAAACCCGAAGGACGCGACCCATTCGGAATCGGGAGTCAACTTGGCCCGGGACTCCCTGGACCCGGACCATGGGGTCCGGAGAATCCTAACGGGCTCCACCCTGAAGAGGAGGCGAACCCTCTTCGGCCTAACCGGCGTTGTGGTAAATTCTGCATCCCCGACAAGCGGCGAACTCTTTCTCCCCAACAGGACAGCGGGGGACACGTTGGCCGGATTTTACAACGCCGTTAGCCGATCGAGTTTTCACCTCGGCCACGTGAGTGTCCTCGTTGGGACCAGGACGATTCGGGGTACCAATCGACCGCCATCGATTCCAGCCATGGAACCGATCGTTACGCGCCCTCGAAACGAGCATCGACCTAGCTACGCCCCTCGTAATTTGCATTTCTAGCAACGCGCCACCGGTAAAGGCCGTTGTGCCAGCTCGGGGTTTTTTTTTTTCTTTTTTTTCCCCCCCTAAACGCCCCCGCCATTTTGTGCACCGCTTCTCGACGTGGGGTATTTGTCGACCCTCTTCTGGGACGGTTTAACCGGAGCGGTTTACAAGAAGCTCAATGCCCCGCTACGTGACCCAGGACCAGGAAACGGGACCAGCTCACCTCTCTTCGGCATCGTCAACCCTGAAATGCCGATTTCGTGCCCAATCCCGGTGCCTTCGTCGTAAAGGACCAACCTGGGGGAGAAGTTAGAGGGATCAGCAGACGAGCTGGGAAGGGTAAAGAGTAACCTCGGCCACGAATACCGCCACGGCGATGGAGTACCCGATGACCAGCAACAAGAAACTGGGGATCAGGTCGATGAATCTCAGGCCCATGGCGAGGTAGTCTTCGGATTGTCGACCTCGATTAACCGAAGGAGACCTGCACCAGAACTCGACGAATCCCGCCTCGAGGAGCCTGAAGACGATGCTGTCGATAAGCTCCAGATAGGGCAGCCCTCGACGTACCGCGAGCACCAGGGGGTAGGTGGCGACGACCTCCTTCACCCTATGGGTGTAAGGGCTGACCTCGTCCTTCGAAGACACCATCTTCTCCACCACCAGCCCCAAACTCGTGTTCGAGCCACTCCTCAGCTGGTCCATCGCCTCGAAGTATTCCTCGTGGTCGATCACCTTGAAGAGGAAAGTGAAAACCCTGGGCAACGCCTCGCTCGATTTTCGAGGTGCGACCTTAATTATCGCGATGGCCTAGATCCACCTAGATGCGATTAAAGTATGCGGCGTCATAACGCGACATACCGTATTTACTCTATGATAGTGGAATCAATTTCGCCTGATCAGGGGTGCAGCGCGTGTCGAGAGGCACGCGATTGCTGGGGAAGTTTAATAACGAAGGGGGTGTGGAAGAGGGTCCTGATTCAGGAATGGATCCAGAGGACCCACCCTCTTACCTGGAAGTTGTCGTAGATGGTCTGCACGACGTAGCTGACGTGCCGATCTTCCTCTCCGGGCAGGACCTCGAAGAGCTCCCTGTAGCGCGCCTGTCCACCGTAGATCAAGCCAGATCGAACGAGCTCCCACATGGTGTCGATCTGGAGTCCTGACTGCAGCATCAGCTGGCCAGACATAGAAGCCAGATAGCTCTGGGTCAAGACGTACCCGAAAACCGCCCAGGAGACGAAGAGGATCCTGTTGGAGACTCTGTCGGGCTGACTAGGCATGGCGACTCCCAGGATCAAGCCCACCACGCTCAGCAACGACAGGTCCGGCATGATGGCGATCTTCAGGGCCATGGTGAAGAAGAGGAGACTGAGTATCGCCAGCCACACCTGGGCAGCCAGGGGAGCCACCAGACCCATCAGGGACACGTTCGAAGACACCGGGACCAGCCACATGATCCTGACGAACTCGTAGGGCACCGTGAACTCCACCCCTGGTTCCGGCCACCATTCTACCCCGCCGATCGTCATGTCGAACTGGGAGTCCCCCGAGAAAAGCGTGACCAAGGTCTCGGTGGTGTTCATCCACATCTCCAAGCTCATCTCCGACCTCGACAGGTTGACCCTGAGGTGCGACGCGATGGCCTCCACCAGATTCCCTTCGACCCCGCCTATCCTTTCGGAGACCCCGTCCTGCCACATCACGAAGGGTGGAAAGTCATGGAAGGTGACGTTGATGACGCACCCCTCGGACAGGTGGGAGGACAGAAGGTTCCTCGTCGCGTGCAGGTCATCCCGATCGGTACACCAGGCCACTAGGTGTGGGTGGGTGGAGGTGCAGGAGAAACACTCAGCGATCAGCACCCTCTCCTGAACCAACGCCATGGTGACCGCCTCGGCGATCTTCGAGTCCCTTAAGGTCTTCAGGATCCCCTCTGATTCCTGAAGAAAGGACTCCTGGTCATCGAAGGTCCTCGTCAGGGGGAGGATGTACTTGCACCTGGGTCCGCAGAAGGTCTTCATTAAGGAGACGCTCTCTGGGGAGATCCATGTGGTGTTGTCCAACACCATTACGCCCGTCTTGGTCAGCTGGTACTCGTCGTCGCCCTCGAAGTTCGACTCGTTGATGCCGAAGACTGCCATTTCGGAGTGGAGGTCCTGGAGGAATAGCCCGAGAGTGGTCCTGCGGTCCAGGAAGTCTGGCAGGAGCACCGGGACCCGGTCTAGTCGTGGGTCTTCCAGACTCTGGAGAAGCCTCTTCAGGCACGGGACCAGACCCTGAAGAGAACGCTCCGACTCGATGGAGGCGAAGTCCTCCATCGGAGAAACGTTCCCTGGGTTGGATTCCAAGAGCCCAGACCACGATTCGTCGGAGGGAGATGAAGTGGAGCTCGAGAGGCCTTCTTCGGGGTCTAAAGCCACGGACTCCGGCACAACGACGCTTTTCACCGTCGGGAGTACCAGGAAGACCAACGGGAACACGCAGAGAGAATTAATAGACATCGCTGCTAGGGACGTCGATTCCTTCGACGTCCGAGTCCAGGGTTCGGTGCAATGCCGAGGAACACCCTGCGCTTTACCCCATCCCTGGATATCTACCTGATGAGCTCGCTTTAATTATTTCCTATCACGAAACCCGATGTTACGTCCATCGGGTCTCCATCGCGGACACGAAGAGAAATGTTACAACCTGACCGGCCAGTTTCTCTATGCAAATGTGATACATCAGATCCGATTAGATCTAATCGGTAATAAGTTAGAAACAAACCCTAGCCCAGTTATCTCTTATCCTGGTAGACCGAGGACCCTTCATCGCTCCCTGTATAATTTTCCCGGCACCGTGTTCACGTCCGTCTTCCGGGATTTCCTGGCCGGGCTTTACGAGGGAGCTTTTCTGCTCCGGGGACCCGGACCCCCCGCGAAGTCGCCCTCCACCGAAGCGCCGTGGCCCGATTTCGCTCCTGCGGGGGGGGCAAAAAAACGCTCTCGCGTGTCGCCAACAGGGCTACGCAAATAACTGGGTGCAATGTTTGAAAAAGAGGGCCGGTCATGCGATCTTGACGTTAAAGTTGCACGCTTTAATGGCCCGGAAAGTACAGGCGCGACCGGAGCCGACTTAACGAAAGCTCCCTGGTGCACTTTGGCGTGCACGGGTATCGAGGATGCACCGAGGGGTGCGGGGCAAATTCCGAGACATCCAATAACTCGCCTCGTTCCCCTTTTACTGTTGCAGAGCCTTCGTCAGGATCCTCTGCGTGTGCTGCCCGAGGAAAATGCGCCGGCGGTACCAGCCAGCCTTCAGGTGCAAACCCAGCCAGGTAAAGGACGACGAGGAACGGCTTCTCCGTGTCCTACCCTGCATTTTTTATCTCCCACTTCGTCTCCCATTTTTCTCGAATCTCCTATCTTTACGCGAACATTTTTTTTTAAACGCGGTACGGTCAGTTCGATTTTTGCGTCCCTCAAGACAAATCATCATCGAGAAATTAAGTTCTCATTAGTTAATGAGTGAGCCTTAAGGCGATGTGAAAGTAGCCCTTGAAATTTCATATCTTATGAACGTTTCGGAGAATGTCGGTAAATCCAATTTTTATAGAATCGATCACCTGATATTTACCGGTTATTTATATAAATAGCCAAGAATATTGGCACTTTAATAATTCCGAGTTCGCGATTTAGTATTTTTCTTATCGTGTACTTTATCGGGGTGACAGCCATTTATATTCCGACGGAAAGTTTCTCTTCCATGGTAAGTGCTGCCCACCCCTTTCATTTCTTTTTTTTTTAATAACCCAATCGACCGGCGTAGGTCGACTCGAGGGTGGGATTACTCGAAGAGGAGCGAGGGGGAGGCTTTAGGGAGGAAATGGCCATCCCAGGGGGTCCAGGGCTCGCTTCTTCCACCCTCCAGGGAAATGTCCCTAGTCCTTCGCCGAAATTGTCCTCGACCGGGGATCGTCGAAGTCGTCACTGCCAGTGGTCAATTTCTCCTTATCAAGGGTGTCTCGATCGGATAAGGGTTACAGCCTCCTCGAAAGGGGTCCTCGAGAAAGGTCCATCGGACCTATCGCAATCCTCGACCTTGTCCGATGGCTGTCCGAGGTCGTGTCGAGTCGTCCTCTGACGTCGCAATTCTCTGGAAAAGCTCTCCCCCCCCTTTTTTTATTATATTTTCTTTCCTCCCCAAATCGTGGCCCGGGAAATTATTCCATCCAGGGGCTCCTAGAAATTCTCTCCCCCTTTCTTTTTAACAGTTTATGAATAATTTCTTAAGGAATACCCACGGTACCGTAAATGAAATGGGAGCGAAACGGAAAATGAAACGCTCGCTAGATTTCGATTTTCTTCCCTATTCCATTTACGTATTTATTAATTTTATTCCTCTCGAGGGGTATGTAAATTGTTTTAAAACCGTCTCGGGATTTTTTCGGGCTTTCGGGGAGGTCTCCCTCGGGAATCACAGAGGGGGGATGTATTCTCCAGACTGGAAAGAGCTCCCCGGGAAAGAGGACGTCCTCGTGTTATCCCCTGGACATCCCTGGCTTACGGATGAGCTTCAAGATGGGGTAAATTGCAGGGAGGTCACGTCTCCGGGTTCTACCCGAGGTATCTCGGATAGTTTGGAAACGCCAGAGAGATGAGGACGGGGGAGAGAAATAGAGAAAGGAGGGAAGGGACGACCGCCGAGAAGGTGGAAAGGGAACGCCCGAGAGTCGGGAATCTCTTCTAACCGAAGGAAAAGGGAATCCGCCCAATTACTCTCCTTTTGTGCATCCGATGGGCGAAAAGTGACGATACTTCCGGCGCGAGTTTTCCGATCCGTCGGAGCTTTCCGCGGATTTTTCACGCGAACTTCATTCGCTTATTCTCGTTCCTTTCCTCCCACCGTCCTGGAAAAAATTCCCCTCTTCAGCCAAATTGAGCATACATACGTATCGTATCTACGTCCCAATTAGGAATTTCCCTGACGTGAAAAGAAATCCCACTTTTGACCCAAATTGCAATGCTCACGTTTAATTCCAATACGTCACGTGGGTTTAATTTCCTTTGTCCCTCTCCTATATACGATCGGCGATACATCCCCATTTACGACATCTCCACCTGGAGATTCGCCCCCCGGGGCGTCTGGACCACGAAGTCTTCTTGATTCGTTCTTTGGCGCCGATATACCGTATCCAGCTCCTAGATTGGACCAATTCCGTTCGATCGTCCTGGGAAGGGTCGAGGGCAATCGTTTGTAAATAATAAAAAGACGAGGTCGAATCCCCTCTTTTCCCAGAGGAGCGTCGCGTCCGCGACTTGGCGTTGACTTTTCCTCGGCCACGAGGAAACTCTCTTCCACCCCCTGAGACGTTTTCTCATCCTCTTAGGGCGGTTTTGCGGACCCACTATTTCCCACTGCAGTTGACAAAGACGGAGAGAAAGAAGGATAAATAAAAAGGAAGGGCATTAAAAAGGAGAAGGCGATCTTATTTCGCCTATTAAATCCCTTATTGTTTCCCTGACGAGGAGAAAATTGGACGTCCCGGAATTATTATCGAGCTGGCGAGGAAAAGCCCTATCTGAATTTTCCAGACCCTCTTTCCAATGGCGCGTCGATATTTCCAGCAATTCTTCCGTAGGGACTTTTCCGCGAGGAATTTCCGCGACGCGGTGATTCGAGAGACGCGTTTCCCCCGCAAGTTAATTAGTGGGATCGTCTAGTTCCTATCGCGATGTCGATTTCTCGTCTTTCGCCCATTTTAGAGTTAATTCCGCCCCCTCCCTCGAACGCCGGAAATTCACCCCTTAAAGCTTTTCTCGGTGAAACGCGGCGAGTCGTGGTTAAACCCTCAAAGACGGGCGACATTAAAAAGCGGCCCATAAAAATCACTTTCACGCCCGATCGGCGATCGAGCGATTTTTGCAACGTAAGAAATTCCCACCCCTAGCTTCGAGGGAGGTCTTTTTCACTCCGGAGAGCCTCTTTCTCCTTTTATTCCTCTTTTCGCCCCTCTTCGCCCGGACAGAATGCAGAGACGAGTCCTTCCTCTTCGTTCCCCGGGGTTCCTTATAAAAAGAGGGAAAAAGTTGAAATCTCGCCTCTTACCAGCTTTTCGAAAATTTCCACCAGTCAATAAAAGACTCTCCCAGAGGAAGTTGACTCTCTCCTCGGGAAAATCTGCCTCTTGCCGGCCTCGAAAAAAAAATCCTAATCTCGAAAAAAGAAAAGTTACCCCAGACTCGGCTTTTCCATAAAAACGACTCCACGAGTCTCTTAGGAAGTTTTAGGCTTTTCCATAAATCTCGTTACTAGAAGGTAAGCTAGTGTAATTTTCGGGGGTTGTTAAAATTCATAATAATTATTATAATTGTATATAATGATTTCGTGAACTGACGCTTGACGGGGTGTACTAGTAAATCAGAGATAATAGGCCGTCCTCTATTTCTCTCAATTGTTTCATAAAAATTCCGAAAGTATTCCTATATTTATAGTAGGTACTTTTTAAAGCAGTTCCTTAAATTTCCATGGAAATAGCTCTCGCCAGGAATCGCTGGGCCTGGGCATTAATTAAATCCTGCCGCAGAGGGCGGAAGTGGGATTCGGGGCAGAAAGTCGTCTCGTTATTCGCTAAACAACGGCGGAGTTGACGACACGTGTGCGCTAATGACATGTATCGTGTATAACGATGTACTTTGCAAGGGTGTGCCGAACAACGGTGACAGCTCGGGAAACAGGATGGGCCCGAAACTTTGGGGGGAAAAATTGGATAAAATTGTGGGGATGAATAAAAAAAAAAGAAAAAATAAGAAGGGACTAAAAAGTCACGAGGACGGCATTTTCCGCGATGGCGCGCACCCTGTAATCGGCCCCGGAAGCCGCGCGTCATGAATGCGAAATTATCCACATTTATGACTCGGCAATTAGCCGGGGGTAAAAACACCCCTTCCTCGGGCCATCCCCCGGGGTTATTGAGGTAATCCCGAGGGAATTAACGGCACGTGTACGTGGGGGCTAAATTCAATGATCGAGGGGTCCTGCACGTCGGCCAGGAACTTGTTTCGCGACGGCGGAAATTACCCCTTCTGGTTCGCTTTTAATTGGCGGGTTTAAGGCCCTAACCCTTTGGCGACCCTGGAATCGTAAATCGGGTCGAATTGATTTTTCAGATGTTCTCCTCGAGGAGGTACTACTCGACGAGCTCTCTCCACCACGTGAGGGCAAGCAGACAGTACTCCTGCGAGCAGACCTACATTTAGCGACGAAAGATCGTCACGATCCTCGTGACGACCCCTCGATCCCGTCCCGATTGGGCCCTCTTATAGCGCGACTCCGGGCCCTCCACCCGTTTCTCGAACGGACTGGGTAGGTCTCTTTTCCTTTTTCTTTCTCTTCCCCCTTCCCACGTAAAAAGCACGAGAAGCACCTCGCACGACCCGCCACCCCCTTTCCTGCCCCCAAAAAAAGGACCGAATAGGTGTCGACAGGGGATTTTTTACGAGCAATAAACTATGCAGGAATATTGGGGAAAAAAAAACATTAAAAATAGAAAATGGGTTGTTTTCCATAAAAGAGAAAAAGCCCACTGGCGACTCCTCTCCCAAATGTACGCAAGCACCCGAATTTCGCACCCCTCGATGTATCTCCCACCTGTGTGACTAAATGCCACCCCCTTGCTAAAAAAAGAGAAATGCACGGGGATGTGTTTCTCGCACCCCTCGGTGTGTTTCACCCTTGGGCGAGTTCATTTCACCCCTTGAGAGTGTTCCTAGATTTCCGTGGGCTTTGTTTCGTATTTCTGGGCGATCCGTGTTCCCTCCCCCATTTTCTTCCGTTCCCGTAACGGGGAATTAAGTCCCAGGGTGGAGGGGTGGTTTTCCAGGTGGTCTTAAGAGGGCGGTTTAAAGTCTCGGGATGGCTGGCTTCCATCGGAGCCAGGATTTTCCCGGGTGGATGAATGCACAAGGAGACTCCGGAGTCGTCGCGTTACAATGCACCCCTGCACTCCTTCAACCCTTTGCCCCGCCTCGGTGGGAATTCAGTGCACCGGTGCAGCTTCGCGACTTACCTCCTGTGACGAAATTACGCACAGATCGGGTTACACGCCGTCTAAAAGCAGCCTTGGTCCGGGGCCCTATTTGAAACTGAGTACAAAGAGAAACGAAGAGAGATGCAGGAAAGAGGGGGGCGGAAATAGAGGTGTTTACTCGAAACCGTGCGGCAAAGTACCGGGGAAATTGCAGGCATGCGACTCTACCCGTAAAGTTTTCCGCAGGGGGTGCAAGAAATCGAATTAAAACCGGCAAAAAGGGGGAAATCAATCCCCGATACCGAGGGAAAATTACGCGGACGATATTCGACCCCCTGCCGAGGGGTGGTGCCGAAAAACCGCAAATAATCGGGACGTCGAAACGAAAGCGTGCCTAGGGGAACGTACAACACCCCCGGGAATGGTCCAGGCCCATAAACTATCCCGAAATTGTATTCCAGCGAGGGCGGCCATTTTTGACGGTGGGGAAATTTCGTGGAAACTCTGGGAATAGAAATAAATAAAAAATATACGAGCCGACTTTCTCCGTCTCGAGTTCACCGAAGGGGTGCCGATCGAAAGTTGCGAAGAGTGGAAGCCCCCCTTGAGGGAGGTCGTCGAGGAGGGCGAGTTTCGAGGTTCTCGCGAGATGTTTCTTTTCGAATCGCCCGGAAACGGCAAGAAGTGCACGATATCCCGATCCCCGGAGGTCCCTCGGGAGTTCCCTCGATGAAACGCGCGCTCATCCGGCCACTAACGTGGGAGGAAAAAAAGCAGGAGAGAACGGGGGTGGCACGCCTCGGATCATTGCGCCTCTGGGGGAGCTTTACGACTTGTCGCGTTTATGCGGTGCGAGAAAGGGGTGCCGCGGGCCGGGACGTCGCCATGAAAGTCCCCGAAAAACGGGAGGACGTGAGTTACGAGCCGTCCCGCCACCGGGAGAGATATAAATGTCGGAAATGGAGGCGGTGGGTGCCCCGGGCCCGTTGTGCTCGTCTCCGTTGTTCCCGGGTAACGACGCGTCGCACGGGCTGACCCGACGTCGGCCGTTTCCACTGCGGCGGGTTCGGAACCGCAGGTGGATTCCTCCCTCACCTGTCGAAAGACCAAGGACCGTCGACCCTAAACGGGAGGGAAGGAAACTCCCTTTAAAGGACCCTCGAATCGGATTGGAAAATCCAAGCGTTTCCCTTTAAACCGGGCCTCCGAATTTCGGGAGTTTGGGGAGAAGTGTCCCGGACGACCCGAGGGACTCCCCGAGGAAACTGGGGCGTGAAAAATCCGCGGGGAGGAGGAAGCCAACGGGAGTCCCGCTTCTCTGTTCGGAAGGCACATATTTCACGGGAAGGCCGAGGAGAAAGGGCCTTTCTCTCTTCGGGCTCGTCTTCTACGCGGAGATTCATCGTTCCGGCGAGTCGATAATGTCTGTCGGGATCGCCTGACGTTTGCCAGCGAGTCTTCCCTCGGGCACCTCCGGTCGGTCCTTCGACCGTCCCTCTCTTTCCCTCTGAAGGTCTTCCTTCTCCTGTACAGAGACCACAGAGGGAACGTCGGGACCGCTGCTCTTCTTTTGCCCTTTCCTTTGACTTTTCTCTCGGAGGAGCGCGCGAGTATATCGAGAAGAATTTGCGAACCTCGAGTCGCGACTCGCCCTCCACCTTTTTGCGGATACGCGGAATAACGTCGCAATGCGGCACGCATTTTTCGCGTTTCTGGGCTTTTTCCTCGGCTCTCGTTCCGAGAGGACCGGGACAGAAATCCTGGAGATAGAGACAGCAAACGGGAGGAAAGGAACCAACGAGTCCGGGTTCGAATTTACACCTCCTCCCGGTCGAGCAGATATTTCGGGACAGAGAGATACCCTCCATCTCTCTCTTCCTTTTTCTTGCTCTCCTCGGGATCGCGGAAGAGCGGATAAATTCTCCTCCGAGTCGGTCCACCGTCGAGCTAGAATTTATCGCTCCATTGAGCCCGTCCTTCCAATCGCTGGACCTACTCGGGAATTTTCGGCCGTCTTGGACCGACTTTGCGCGGATAAGACGAGACAGAAAAGGAGAACGCGAAAAGACGGAAGGAGAATGAGGAAAAGCGGAACGCCCGGCACCGGACGAGAAATTAAAATGCAGAGCGGCCGGATGAGCTCTCATTAATTTTCTGTCGCTTGTTGACTCTGACGGCCTCAAAGGGAGACTCTCGTCTGCTATTCGTCGACGTATGATAGACGAGGACCGTCGAGGAGTTGTAAAGATGCCTTGAAGAGACTTCACATTTCCCCCCCTTTCTTTTTCTTCGTGTCGATTCGGTCCTTAGCAAGGCCGATTATACGCGACATTATATGAAGGCAATCGATGCATACTTCCAAAATTAATATCGATATTTTCCCTATTTCTGAAGATGAAATTTCGGTGTATTAATAATTGGGTATATTAATTCCTAAAAAATAATATATGTGGCTTCTATACTGTTAAGCGTAAAATTTAACATTCTCCAAATTGACGGGCTACTTGTCTATCGAATTTGCGGAAATGCTGGGATTTGGTCCGTCGACGGGTCGACGTCCGTTCGTCTCGAAATCGAATCCTGGGGAGAGTTAGGCGTCGCGACGCCTCGCGGAAATTATGGGGTGTACAGAACCCCGCAAACTTATGTCCGATCCGGCCTGATTTGGTCTGATTTGGTCTGATTCGGTTGCGGGGAGGCACGAACTCTCGACTTCGATTCGAGACCGATCGGACCGAACTTCCGGTCCCAACTTCCGACCGACTCGTCTCCGCCTTGGACGGGATATGGGAAACGGAAATCCTGGAAGCGAGAAGATTTAAGGAATATCGTACCAGAGGACTCCCGGGAGGCTTGGTTTCCTTGAAAGCGGGACTTTTCTCCCAAAAACCCGACCAGCTTTTTCCGGCGTTTATTTCAATATTTAAATCCAATTTGCAGAAAAGTATCGGATGCCACTTTCGCATCACCTTAACGAGCACGCGACGTTTGATTTTGCTTCCTTCCTCTCCTTCTCTCGGTTTCCCTCCTTTTATTTCTCCCTTTATCCTCTCTTTCTTCCGCGTTCCCGTGATCGTAAAAGTCGCCAGGGAGCGTGTCCGACCGCACTCCCCCCGCATCCACTTATTATTAGATCGGATTGCTCCCGCGGGAATTCCGCAACGGAGCTTCGCCAAAGCGTTTCCGCACATCGGGGGAACTTGCACTCTACATAAAAGACTGGTACTTGTCTTTTTACCCCGACTTTTCGCGATAAAACCAGGATTCATGTGCGACCTCACGCGTACTTTAACTACTCCCCAGGAGTAATGTCAACGGGTGGGCGGACCACTCTGCGGTTGGGGAAAAAACTCATTGTTAATCCTTTATCCCCTGGATTAGTTAGTATAAGACATTGCCTCGATACTTATATTATTCTTCATTAATGAAGGATATCCCTCCAAGGGAATTACAATAGGTACACAGTGCTGGTCTGTCTCCCCCAAAAATGAAAATAATCTGGTAAGAATTACTGATAAGAGTGGCATGGGATTTATGGGGACATAATCAGGGTCAAACGACACGAGGTCAGCGTGATTAACGTCATTTGAGGGTAACGAGGTAAACGGGCGTGAAAAAGTTCCTCGGCTCGGAAATCGTCCGGAAGCTGCAAAAAATCGAGGCTTCCCTCGTCGGCCCTCCGCGAATCGAGCCTTTGTCTTCCCGGCGGACGGGAGGCGTAAAAATCCCGTAAAAATCCCGGGAGGATCGGCGGGCCTCGAAAAGCGATCCCGAGGGTACTCACGAAGGGGTGGAAAGTTTTTTCGCGAGGATCGACTCGTAGGAATCTCTCGAAAAAGCCTGACGGGGGGGCTAAAAAACCGCGTGCGGAGAAGAACTTATGGATTCGCGAGATTCGCGCCGCACGGTCACCCCAAAGGACTGGAAAAATCGCCGATATTTTTCCTGGGGGTGGAAAAGACCTCCCTTGGAAGTGGTCGAATCAAAGATCGGGGTTTCACGGAGAGAACGATTTTTTTTTTTGTTTTCTTTTCTCCCTTTCCGCGAATGTTTTTGGCCATTCCCTTTCCTTCGACTCGTCGCCATCGAGAGTCGGCCTTTCCCGAAGTTCCTCCGGGAAAGTTTTCCCGAATCCTCGACAGGCGTGCACGCATGCATATATGCATGCAATACCGGGGTCCTTCCTCCTGTGTATGGGATCGGAGTCCTGCGGGATCGACAAGTGGAGGAGACCGGGGAAAACTTTTCCTCGCGGACTTCCAAGTGAGGTAGGGAGACGAGAGATGAACATTTTAGGTCGCGGACTTCCAAGTGAGGTAGGGAGATGAGAGATGAACATTTTAGGCCGCGGACTTCCAAGTGAGGAAGGAAGACGGGAGATGAACATTTTGGCTCGCGGACTCGAGGAGGTAACAAGAGAGATGAAAATTTCTACCCGGGGAACGAGTACACCCAAGACTGCCCGTGGCGGATCCTTCGAAGGGGATGAAATATCTCGCCGCTATCGGCGGATTACGCAAAACTGGGTCGGAACGTGCACGCTCCATTTATCCGGGGACAATTCGACGCTAACGCGAGCGACGAGAGCGAGTCGGCTAGAAGGAGACTCTTTCCGAGCGTCGTTCCCGAAATCCCTACTTAACGATCCGCGGTCTGCCGGGGCGCGCTCCGTTTCCAGGTTTTCGGTAACACCCCCTCTAAAAGCGTCTTCAATTCACCCGCCTTACAATTTAACTAACAAGATTTCCTCCCTGAGGGTCACTTTTAATTCCCGAAACCTCGAATAGCGACGTCAAACGGATCTCATTAATGAGACTTTACCGAGTGTACCAAATCGTTCCAAGCTTTCCAACCGTATAGGCGACAAGGAAGGTCTTGACAGCAGTGAAATGTCACTATTTAAAAAAAAAAGAGAATTTTCAAAACAACCATAAAGAAATTTTAGTTGTTCTCTTTAATCCTCGAGGTCCTCTCTGAACGGTGTTTTCCAATCATTCGGCGCCCTTTGCCTTTCCCTCCGCAATTTGAGCAAGGTATTGAGAGTAATCACCGTTTCTCCTGATTACAGTACGTCTCCGGGATGGGTGGAGGGCACCACGGGAGCAACGTGGGGTACAACAGCGTAAGCCAGAGCAGCGACAGCGGGATGTGACGTCAGGGTGAGGCCCCCCCGGGGGGCCCACGTCGGGGAAGGGCCATCCGCTTCCGAGACACGTGACTGTAGGCGGGCCCAGGGCCCGTCTCCACTTCCGGCGAACCTGTGCGGAAGACCGGAAGCCTCGTCTCTGGGTCCAGAGGCCCTGGGGGACTTCTTTCGAAGCCAAAGGGGCTTTCGCGACCTGGCGAGCCAGGCGGAAGCTGTCCACTTCGCGTGTTCATCGGCGAGCACCGTGAAATGGGCCGAGTCGGGGTGGAAGAGAGAGAACTGCGAAATCTTTTGCAAATCGAACCGGAGTGGGAAGTCTTGCGGATTCGGGGGCGAATTTTCAGGGGGAGGGAAGTACCCCGCGCGAAAAGGTACGAGGCGAGGCAAAGGAAACAGGATTGCCAAATTTTTTCCAGGGCGAAAGAGACTGAGAAGTTTTGCGAATGTGGATTCGGGAGCGAATTCCGGTGAAAAAAAAAAACGCTGGTTGGCGAGAACGAGAGTGAACTGCGAAATTTCGTGTAATTTTAAGGTGGCTGGGAAAAAATGGAGAGGACTGCGAAATTTTTTGCACGGCGAGAAAGGGACCGGGAAGTTCTGCGAATGTGGATTCAGGAGCGAATTTAGGTGAAAAGATGCGAAACGAAGAGAATGATAGGGAACTGCGAAATTTTTGGCAAATTGAAGGTGACCGTGGAGAAATGGAAACTGCGAAATTCTTTGCAAATCGAAGGACACTGTGAAGTTTTGCGAATGCGGTCTCAGGGGGGAATTCTGGTGACGGTAGGGTCTGTCTCCCCCTAAGGTGGGACTTCTCGTATTGTCGTAAACCGTCGAGACTATCGCGGATCCTCCGAGAATCCCCTCGAGAACTCCATCTCCCCCATGGTGCGATATCGCGTATTGGCGCGAATCGCCGAGACGATCGCAGATACGCCCGTAAGAAATGGGATCGAAGTGATGGATGCCCGAGGAATCGGAGCTCGCCAAGGCTGGCCTTGGGGTTGGGTTTCCGGAGTTTCGAATTTTTCCCCCCGATATCCGGGAGCGAGAGCCGATACTATCACGATCGAACCATCGACCGGCGTTCGATAAATCGATGTTAACGCTTAGGTCGAATCGTATACCGCGGTGGCAAGAGTTAACAGTGGCCGGTCGAGCGGCGAAGAAGCGCGAAAGGGTTCGCCGGCGCGAATTGTCCAGCACTTCCGGCAGAAGTGCTCCAAAATGGCGGCCGGAGGGAGAAAAGGAATAAATCGATAGGCTCGGAGAAATTTCCATCGCGAGACGACGAGGTGGCTCCGAGGATATCCTCCGAAACGCGAGCCGAGCGCGTTCTCCAAAATGGCGGCGATCGCCGGAACCAGGGGCGGGAGAAGAGCCGTAAAACGGATCGTTTGGTGGGTCGTTTATGAACAACGAGTGCCGGAAGCTGCTCTCGACGAGATCCCCGGGAAATGACGCCGTTTCCGAGTCCCAGGACGCGCGCGGGGCATTTTTCCTCCTTTTTCTCCGTTTCTTTCCCGGTGACGCGTCCTCCGGGTTGACGAGCGCGTCCGGGACTCGCGGCGGAGAGAGAGGGAGCCATAGCGGAAAGGCCTGGCGAGAGAGAGACGAACCGAGAGGTAGAATGATAACGAGCGCACGCAGGCCGTGCGCGTGTATATATCCTTAATGCGAGCCGCGTTTCGCGTGCATTTAAATAGTCGGCACCTCTTTCATGACGCGAAGCCCGTCCTGATGGCGTTATGAAATATTGAAAAAGCCGAGCAAAGAACCTCGGGCCTTTCCGGGGCGTCGCGATGGCCCCCTGTGCTCGTGGAAATTTCCAAAGGGCTTTTCGCAGGGGTAAAGAAAGGGACGAGTCCGTTGACGTTTCGTTTCCCGGCGAATGGGCATTCCTTATTTTAAATTATCCCCGTAATCTCGCGTGGATTTCTTCCTAAAAACCTCCTAGTCCAACTTCTCCTAGGTATCCGCGGTATTAATTTCTTTATTTTATTCCTAACCCTGCGATCGTGTTCTCGGATAGAATTTTGCTTTATAGGTAATCAAAGCGAGGGGAGAAATTCGAAAATCAGGAGCAGAATAATTGATCCGATTAATTCGAGGTGGAAATTCGGGAGGAGGAAGCGATGGAGAGATGGAGAATCGCGGAAACACAAAGAGGGAGCGAGATAAATAGGAGTGCATAAGGACACCCGACGTGCTGTAGACTTTTTATCGTGACCTGTAATCCGTCGATTTAGCGCGCTGTAATCGTAATCATAGCCCGTCGACACCCCTCGACGGAATCCGGCGATTCCGACTCAATTAATCTCCCCCTGATCGATCGATAGCGATCGGGGGTGGATTCGATCCAACGTCCGCGGCAGGTGACGGAGTTTATTACGAGAAAAGGCTCGGGGACACTTGAAGGCCCTGTAAAAAAAAATCGATCGAGAGCTACGCTCTTCGAGGGAGGAGCTCGGTTCTCCTCCCTCGGCTGTAAATAGGCGAGAAAAAAAAAAGGGAATTATGAAAAAAAATCCGAAATCAACGGCGAAGACACGACGAGATCCGAACTCTCGTTACGGACAATGTGTCTCCCGGTATGTGCTGTCCTTTATAATAAATATCTCCGGAAAGAAACCTTAATCACCATTGAAAAATCCCCTGAATCTATTCCAGGTGAAAGAACAAAACGAGAGAAAAAAAAAATGGTTCACGCCCTTAAGGGAGTCGGTAGAGCCCCGCACCAAATACATATGACGGACGCGAGGTACAATTGTCTTCCGTGTTCGAAATACCTGAACATTTTTCAACGGTATACGAGGTCTAAGCAGGTAAGTCGAGCCCGAATTACACCTGGGAACACTAATCCACCTGCAGTACCTCAATCGATTGCAGGCTCGGAATTTATTACCGCACCGAGATTACCCGAATCCGCCCCAGATTACAAGGTGGAGGGGCAATACAAGGGGATTACAAGTCGGTATTACGGCTTTTTAGCGTCACGCCAATCCGTCTGGATACCCTCTCCGGGATTCTCGGTGATATCAATCGCTTTGGCACCGATATCACTCGCGTTACAATCGCGTGGAACGAGCCGGAACGCGAAGCGTGTCCGCGCCAAGTGCATCGACTGTGAATTAGTCTCGGCTGGAATACTTTTCGAGGGGCATCGATCGGCCCGATTACAGAGAAAAATCCCGTGCCTCGGTTTATTTGTCGAGAGGCTCCCAGGGGAAATAATTGAAAACAATTATCTCTCGATTCCGACGCGAGCAGGAGTAACGCCGATTGGCTCCAGCGAAATCCGATTTCGCTTATCGTGCGAAACGACTAAAAGTCGATTTGCCCTCCTCGACATGGCAGAAAATCGGATCCCATTAATCGACCTGACCACGTTTCGATTCCACAAGCCTCTTCCATTTTTTTTTTTGTTTTTTTCTTCTCACTCTTTATTGAACTCGTCAAAAGTAGTGAAACGAACGAAACGGGGTTTCTCCTGACTTTCGTAGCGAGAATTGTACAGAAACGTGTTACGCGGTTTAAAATTAAGTGCAGTCGAGGTACATGCGTAATCATTCCCTCGCGTGAGAAGGCGCCCTTTGTCACGAGACTTTGTCGGCTGCGGGCGCATGCATCGCAATTTTCCTTTTTTTTTTTCCCCTCGCTCTTTTTCTCTTTCGCTCATCCATCGAATGCACCCGCAATTGGATCACGCGTGACTGACGCGTATGAACGAGGTGCGGCACGCGGTAAAAAAAAAAAAAGAAGAGAGAGAAAGTAAGAGGGAGGGAAAAAAAATCGCACGGTCGTCGATTGCGGCACTTTGTAACTGGCGGCACGTGCGCGGCCATTTTCCCGCCCTCTCTTTTTTTTATTATTGCACCAGTCACAGCGATTGGCGTTACGGTAATGTTGCTCCTTGCAAATGCGACCGCGTTGTTATCTTAGGTGACGGAATACTTAAATAACTCTAGCTAAAGTCCGGGGCCGGCCCCAAGGATGCATATTATGTACGCGTATCTGCTTAATATTCATTTTTTCTTCGGTTCATTACACACTTAGATGAGGTCCTCTTTGGTGCTCCGGTAAACGTATGTTTGCTGTATGCATTAATGAGCCTAAATGAAAACGATCGACTAGCGCGACGCGACTAATCTTAAGGTGACACGAAAGTGGCGTCGAAGAGGTTCCTTGAAACTTTTCTCCGAACCACTTTCGTGACACCTTAAGGTACTAAACGGAGTACCAGGAAGCAGTTCGATCGCTCGGTAAAAAGTGTCATACCACCCACGGTGGCAATACATGCGAACGTCCGCCAAGGGAGAGCAGAAATTGTTTAAACGTCACGTAGGAAATATTGCTTAGCGATGCAAAAAGGAACCCTTACATAGTTTTCTTATCTTTATTTCTTTTCCACGGTCCTGCTGTTCCTTACCGCTGTCGTTCAATAGACCTAAATCACTATCGACTAGAATCGGCCTATTAAAATCTTAGAAAAATCGAACCATCGCCGAGTGTACTGGAAGTACGGGACGATCGATTCGACCTGGGCATGTGTCGCGTATGTACAGAAGCCGAGAAGAATTATTTCAGGATTTCTCTTCGGCTCCGAGGAGAGACACCCTATTTCCATTGAATTTAAGAGATTTTCGGATAATAAACGCATTCCCTCCGAACCAGGATACCGAATCGGTTCGGAAAGAAACGACTTGCGTTAAAATGAACACTTTTACAGTTTTCTAAACAGTTTCGGTTGACCCGTTAAAGTATACGCCTCGTCTTTCGTGCTCTTTTGTATGTTTCTTTCACAGCCTAGCGGCTTAATAGGAGAGACGGTGAAGCGGATTCACTCACCATCTGACGTATCTCTTATGCTCCTCGTTTATACTGATTCGCTTAATGGTCTCGTAGCCTAGGATTATCGAGAAGCTGAAGAAGATGGATTGCATGAGTCGCGCGGAAAGACCTTTGGTGAATATGCGAAGACCCTCTTCTAACCAGAGGACTCTGAAGGCGCTACACATGCCGTCGAGTCGCTGCACCTGCAGTCTGGCACGAACGATATCGAGAGGATTCGTTAAAATCGTCGTCGTGAAGCCTCCCAGAGTCCCAGCAACAGCTTGGATCAGTAGATGCGACACCCAAGGTGGAAGTATCTTCAGCAGCTCATCTACCATCGAAACATACGTCGGGATTAATTGTTTTCAAGGAACAGAATAACAAAATTAATGAGCTAACCTAAAAAGACGCAACTGGTACTGAACAATGCTACGGTAAATGGAGAAAAGGACGTGAAAGATACCTTGATAGGCAGTGTAGAAGCTCCACCAAAGTGCACTATTGGGGACGTAGGCGCAAATAGATGCAAAGTAGCCACGATAGAATCCTCGCAGACCATCTCTGCGATAGATGGATTTGACTATTTCCGCAGATATGTGGGCCTTCGACTTGCCAGGTTCTAGAGTCAAGCCCAGCGGGTTCATTCCCATCTGATAAAGAAGCGTGTCAAAGAGGCATTTGAAATTCATGAATACATGCCGAGCATCCATTTACAAGTAAACCACGAAGGTATGCCGGACCTCACCTTGTCTACGGCGAGCTTTCCATGCTTGGTGTGCACTCCGAGGACCATTAAATGTTGACTAAGGACGTCGAAGGGCACGACTACGGTTTGTCCTACTAAGCTCGCTGCACCACCTCCTATCAATGCTTTCACTCGTGGGTCCAGGTGCTCGGTTAAGGGATCTCGAGTGAGGAAGCATCGCACTCCTTCGTACGTCGACACGTAGGAGACTCCGGACACGATTTGTACCGAGCTTATCCAAAAGCCTCGATAAAGTCCTGGAACTCCTTCTACTAAAAGGATTTTCTTGTACGCATCCATCATACCTGCGTGAAATGACAAGTTTTTAGGAATGAAACAGAAGCTGAATCACTGCATTAGCTAAAAAGCCCTGACATTTTAAAGTTACAAGTATCTACGTACCCGAATATGCATGATTCTTTCTCTGAATTTGAAGTCGAGTTTTGATCACTGTCAATGGATAGAGGCAGCATCGAACGGCGAACGAGGAGAGCATGCTCAGTGGAATAAACTTGGACTTGTCCATCATATCCCACTCGATGGTTTGAATGAACTGTGGTGCCTCTACCGCAGACATCTTCGGGCCTAGGGAATGCAAAAGTCACGTTTGCCGGCAAAGAGACTACCCCACCCTGGACTTTGAGAAACCTGTCGTGCAGCCTGCTCCTGCACATCTCATCGGTGCTTCCTGGGCATTACTACCCACGATAGTCCTGCAATACAATTTCGTAAGTGAAAGCATCTCGCTAATGCGTACGATCGTTCATTGGCAAAGTGCTTGTTTACTTCGACGACAGCATATTAATAGCACCTATGCGATTCAAGTTCATGAGCATAAAATTAATTTTAGCACGTGAAACGCATCCCGAATAAACAAATAATCATATGTGAAGCAAGGTCGACTTACAGGCGCATCGAATGCACCGTATCTAATAAAAACTGGGCGATTAATTCCTCAAGGTCAATGGTATTCGACGATCACCCGAAGAGTTAAAAGAGCAACGCTAAAGACACACGACATGACGCCTATGATACTCACGATGATGTAACTACCCACTATGGAAAAATGGTGAAATTTTTCCGGCGGCACAAGAGGCGCTCTTTGAACCTTCAGGTTTCGAGAACTCGAATTCATACCATATTTATACCCGGTATAGACCCTGGGTTGCTCGCCGACGTCCACGAGGTAGCCGCACCCCGAGCATAAATCTAACCGGCAGATTGTCTTGAAAACTCAGAGATGGGCTTAAATCGCCAGAAACACGAGGCAGCGGCGACCGTCGAACGTTATCAGTTAGACGATTATTTACAATACTACGCGTGTGCTGTTTTAACTTGCTCCTAAGCCTCCATTACGACATCATCTGTCGCGAAGCAAAGGAGATTCGGTACGGCACAGTGCAGACTTTGCCCTGCGAGATGGCGCCACCAAGGCGGCTAGCTACGAACTCCCCAAATGTTTCCACAATTCACATTACCTTAGAAAACCTCCACTCGTTCTTATCCAATCATTTTTCTTATTGCAAAAGAACTGCGACGCAGTGATTACACGCCAATTATCTGATCTAAAATGAAATAGGATCGAGTACAGCGAAGAAAATTGAAAGGAGGTTTCTCCGAGCGTCGCCATTATTACCGACAGGTGAGGCGCTATTTTCAGAAAACATTGAGAATGTTGCATATGCACTGTAATATTCGACCAAAAGGACAACACTGAATCCATTTCTACAAATTAATCGGGAACCTGTTGGGAAGTACTTAAACCTCCTTCCCGCGTTAATTAATACGAAATTAGTTGGTTAAGTGCGCGGTCAGATGGCGACGCCATCTCGGCCATCGTAATTCTTCGCAAGATGGCGGGCAGCGCGTCCACAGGCGCCGCCGACTCGCGTTATGGCAGAAATTTAATAACGCAACGTCCAGCTACGCTCGATTTACTATACGGTAGCAAGAAGATTGCAGGCTCAGGTGCCTAGATTTATCAGAATTTAAGTCGAAAGCCCGACCCCACGTGACGGCACTAAACATGTAAATGCGACGACTCCATTAATCTCGCGCAGCTCCCTGTAAACCGTTGCACTCTAGGAAGAAGGCGACCCAGTAAACAACGCCAAGTTTCCCGTTATCGAAGCATGGATTCGCACAAAAACATTAAGGAAAACGAAAGAATCCATGCTTAAAATAAGGGATGCAAAACGGTAAGAGCTAATCATAGGCCTGAATTACATGTTTAATATCGGTACAAGATTGCTACGTCCCACCGCTGAAGCGAATTGAAAATTAATCGTTCGAGCACAACATATCCTGTTGAAAGATAAGAAAAAAAGAAAATCCACATTCGTAATTTTTCACCACTAGCACCGCTGTTACCGTATATAAAGTGCGATCAAGGATATTTAAAGAAGAATTAAAAATAGAGTAACTTAAGTATAGTGCATAAGTATAGCGATGGCGGCGCTTGATGTCAAACCCAATATCAAATCGCTTTACGGAATTCAAGATAAGTAGACAATTTTTTTCGAAAAAAGAAATTTCACGAGTAACGCGTTCTACCTTAGGGTCTCCATGATCACGTGTTAAAGTGTCAGATAATTCTGTGCACCCAGTTTGGAGAAGAGTTTTATAAATATGTTGACTTCTTTGCTATGTACATATCACACTTTCATATCACCTTAACGAGAAAGCGAGAGTCATTTATTTTTTTTCCCCCCAGCTGACTCGGAATTGCCCGTCGGGAAGTCGAAGAGGCAACTCGGTGATGCTTCCGGTGGAGGTCCTAGCGATCGTGCTGACCCTGACCCAAGGATGCCCCTCGGAGGGTCAGGACTGTCCCCAGCTGGACCCTAAGAACGTTACCTGCGCATGTAAATTCGGAGGCTTGGAGGTGACCACGGCTTCCGGCGTCGTCATCAAGGACGAGAACTGCAACTCCATGCAGAACAAGAACGAGTTCAAGAGGATGCCCCAGGTAACGGCGAGCGAGAGACTCCTCGGGGCTGAGTATCCTCGATCTCTCCGCGTATGTCGAAAGATCGATTTCGGGGCGACGCGGAGAGATTAACGCGCAAACGTAACCGAGTCGGGGGGGAAAAAGAACAAGCATGGCCGCTCGCCGATTACGACCGTAGGAGTAAAAGTCGGCGACGTCTTATTTACACTCGCCGCTCGGCTTTCCACCGGAACTCGGGCGAACGAGTTCTTGCGCGACGTAGGAAACATTTAATACCGCCGAATTTATTGTCAATTAATCGACAAATTATTGTCATTTTGAAAGTCGCCGTTTACGTCCGACTCCTAGGGCGTTCCATAGGTCGGCGACGTCTCATTTACGCACACCTTTCCAGTTATCATGGAAAGTCAAGCTGGGAAGGTGTCCCGTGGTAGAAGAAAGGTTCGATTTTTTCCTTTTTTCCTTTATTTTCAACTAAGGTACCGGAAACTCATCGTCCATGTAGTCGATTCGGCGCGACGAATTTCTCCGTTTCGTGGTCGGGGAACGTAGCTCGCGGAGCCGGAAACAATTAATTGCGCACCGGCGAGAGGAGAGTAGGAGCGAGTTTACGGCCGCGCAGCTTTCTACCGGCCGAGAGAGTGAATCCGTTTTGTCCTCAGGTCAGGATGGCACGGGCCAAGTGCGCCAAGACGTACGCCCTCTTCGTGCTGGACCCCGACGTGCCGGGCTACCCTCGAGGGAACTTCTACAATCACCTCGTTCTGGGCAACCTGGCGGGCGAGGAGGTGAAGGACGGCACCCTGGGAAACGGCACGACGGCGCTCTGCTACAACGGACCGGACCCACCCCCGACCACGGGGACCCATCGCTACATGTTCCTCCTGTACGAGCAGCCGCAGCCGAACGTTACCCTGAAGGAGATCCCTGACGAGAAGCGCGCCAACTGGAGTCTCGCGACGTACCTCGCCGAACAGCAGACCAGACTCTGCGGACCCGTCGGTGGGACTCAGTTCAGGACCAAGGCCTGATCCGCGCGTATCTCCGCAACGAAACATTTATTCACCTGGAGAGCCGTTTCCAACCCTGAAGAGGACGGGAGAACTCTTCTCCGCTTGGAGAACCATGTCTATGTCTCGAAACAAGGACACTAAATTAAAAGGCGTTTTTTTTCTCCTCGACCGCGAGGTAGCCCGCGATCCCAAAGTGGATCCGAGGTTCGAGGGAATCACCCTGGGGACGGATCAATGGAGTTTGCCAGGAATCCTTCCCTCCCTCTAGGGGAAGCTCTGCGTAGGCTCCAAGCCCGGAGCGACTCTTACAGGTGGTCGGAGATTCCCGGCAAGTTTCACCCCCTGCGTGAAATCCACCTCGTATAGGAACACGGGTTAAGAGCGATTCATACATATGTACACAACGGCCATATGCTTTCATGGGCCTCCTCGACTTACATCGATATCCATCCATCGGTTCCGAGTCGATCGTCCTTTATCGTAATCGGTGGCGCGATTGGGCATCGCCGGACTCTCGAAGATGCTGTAAGGGCTCGGGACCCTTCCCTTATTTTCTTTCCTCTCGACCTTTTTTCTGCGGCGACTTTCCTCGAACGGCGTGCCTCTCTCCCGGGTCGCGCTCATGAATGGCCGCGCTGGACCGGCGTATGAATGAAATAGTAAATATAATTGACAGAAGGGCAGCGTGGGCAGGCAGTCGTCGGGCATTCGGTCAGAACGGGCAGGCGAGAACGGCGCGCGCCGCGTAGGATCGAGGTCATCACCTTTCTATATACGAGCGAGAGAGCCTGCTTTCGCCCTTCCAGCCTCGTCGAGGCTTTTGCTCTTCGAGTTCGGACCGGACCTCTTCGGGGCCGGAGGTCGCCCGGAAGAACGGGACTCCCGGGAGGAGTCCCCCGTCCTACGGTTCCGGCACGTAAAAAGACCCCGAAAAACTTGGAAATATAGCCCCGCCCACGCAAGTCCTACGCTAGAAAAAAAAAGTCCAGCTAAAAGAGCCAGAAATTCAGTCAGTTTACCTGGATTGGATCGTTAAACGTCCCCTCACTTAATTCCCGGTTAAAGTTACCAGATATTTCCAGTAAAATGTCATCTGATTACGCTAATTAAGCCTTTTCGGGCAAACGCCACTCTGGCTACTAGATGTATTCTGTAATCAGCTTTCGTAATCGGAATCCTTTGGGTACGTTAATCGAGCTCTTGTTAGCGATATCTGGAGATCTCTTAATCGGGCGCATCTGATAACATCAGTGGGACCATTTTTTTTTTTTTAATATCTGTAGAATTCATCCGGATACCTTGTACCTCGATCCCGGGAAACGAAGTTTCCCTGAACGTGTCGCGGAACGAGCTCGTTGCCGAGGATTGACGTCATCGCCGGGGATAGAGAGCACCTTTATCGCGGGTCGCGAGCAATGCCCAATAATTAGGGATTTCTTGCTCCTAATAGCCGCGACGCCGCTTGGGCGGATTTGCGGAAACCGCTACCGGGAAGGGGTCCTGGCCCCGGGAACCTGCCCGGGGGGTCCTGGACCAAGAAGAGGGGATGCTGCGCCGGTCATCCCGCGTCTCGCGTCTTTCCCGAGGTAGGGCTCGCTCGCCCATGTGGGAGGGATAGTTTCCGGTCGCCCACGCACTCGTCGGCCACTTCGCAGCCGAGGCAAGGACAACCCGGAGTTGTGAAAATGTCGTTCGATCGCCGAGTCAAGTGCCGAGGCGAGGCGCGGTAACGATCCCCGAGGTCGGATATCGATGGCTGATAAGAGTAAAAATAGAAATGAATATGATGCTACCTTTGGGTCCTCAGCTGAGGGGTTCGAGGGGGTCTCGACTCCAAAAGGGCCCTCCAAAGCTCGTGACCGGGAAGAGAGGGTAAATCTAGGGTCGACCTATAAGATAGTATCGTTTAAACATTCAAAATTTTCTCACGTTATTTCTATAAAGTTTTCCCCGTATTCCTTCCGGACAAAGATAGGAGGAAAATTAATCTAAACTTTGAGGAATTAATACTATCGTACCGAAAGTTTACCCGTTAAGATGAACTCTTTGAAACGCAAAGGAAGGGCAGGAACGCATCGGACGTCCCGTCGGAAAGAAAGCGGGAGATTACGGTTTCGACGGAGCAATCAGCGAGCTATCGATCCGATCCGCTGGTTGATAAAAATAACGGCGAGGTCCACCTTAAGGGTGTTCATTTCCGCGATCTCGCATCTCCTCGGGATCGTCCCGGGGGATGAAGCATCCCCCCTCGGGGGAAGAAGAATCCTTTCGCGAGAGGACCCTTTCTTTTCAACTTTTTCGTTGAAAGTAGATTGGGAAGTTTATCGAGGGTGGCTATCCGCCCGAGGATTCCCCTCGGGCGTCCCTTTGGTCGCCCGACGCCATCTTGGAGAACCGAGCGAAATACGCGATCGTCCCTGTTAACCGATACCGAGGCGATATATCTCTCGTCTCGTTACGTCAGAACTCTCGATCGTCTGTGCCGTATCGACCGATGGCGTCATCGCGCACATCCCCTCGACCGTGCATATCCGATCCGGTGGCGGTACCAAAATGGCGGCCGTTCTCCGCGAAGAGTCCCCGCCAGTCGGCTTGGGGGATGCGCGCGAGGGTGGAAGAGGTCTCCCACGGGCGCCGGCGTGGTCATTATGCATCCCTCGGGGTATTGTTCCCACGGGAAACCCGGGCCGAGGCGAACGGCAGGCGCAGAAGGTAGGACGGCCCGGCCGGTCCCGCGGGTGCGCGCTCGCGCTCGTGGCCCACGCGTGTGTGCGTCGCGTGCACCGGCGCACACGCTCGACCGGCTCCTGCACTCTCGTCCGTGGATTTAAGATATTGCGGGGGGGCGTTCACCTCGCGTCTCGGTCCCTCGATCGCGCGAGAGCGGCCCCGCGTGCGCGTGTGCGGCCGTCCGTACGCGCGCACACGCGCCTGCGCGGTGGATGCTCGAGGAACAGGGTGCGGCCCAACCCACCTCGGCTGAGTTACCTACCCATATTACCGTCTAGGTAGGCCGGTATATCCTGGCGCGCGAGTGCCGGCCGGCCGGGGTACTATGCCATATTTGCATCCATGATCCGGGACACGCGAGAGCGCGTACCCTGCCGGGGGACACCTCCTTTTTGCCACTTTTTCTCGCTTTTTCGCCTCCTTTTGCGTCCTCCGCGCCTTTCTGGGCCTCGCCCAGAACCCGCTCGCCCGGCTCCCCGGTGGAAACTCCCGCTTCCCGAAAAAAATACCGAGCCTCCGAAAGCGCCTCCCACGTCCCGAGGGTTTCCCGACTCGGAGGAGGGAACACCTTCTCATTGTTTTTTCCTCCTCGCGTTTCACTTTTCGTTGCGCCCCCGAACGATGTACCGGCGTATGTTAGAGGTTTCGATTTGAAATCCGATGTGAAATTTCAAGATAATCCCGTGAAGTTTGAGGGAGGCGTCCAGGTTATTCGGGGATTAATATCTTCGGGAGATTCGATAGGTTATAGTCTCTGAATTGGACTCGAAATTTCCGGTTCTCCGCGGCGTTGGTGTTGGAGGAAGTTGTCCCGGGCTGGGAGCGCGCCGAGAGAGAGAGAGGTCCGTCGAGCGAGGCGGCGCCGCCGCGGGTGCGAGAGAGACACCCGACCGACGGCGATACCAGAGGAGCAACGAGGCGACAAACGTTAGCACACGACACTCGCTACTCGTTGCTTTTTTAGGCGCTCGGCTCCACACGAACGGAGTGTACATTGTGCCGTGTCTATTGGCACTGGCTTCGAGTGCCCCTGTGTTTGTCCCGGGAGCCCGGCCGATCCTACGGGGCAACGATCGGCCCGTTCTCCAAACGTCCCCGTGCTTTCCCTCCCGAGCCTCGGGAAGACCGAGATCGTCCCGGAATAAGGAGAAAACCCGAAACGAGGAAAGCTGGGGAGAAATGATCCACTCGAATACGCCGCCATGTTGATTTGAATTTTGAGCGAATCGATTTATTCGCCCCTTTGATTTTTCCCCCGAGATTTATCGATATGCCCATTTCGGGTGTTCCCGGGAATCGGGGAAATTAGGACCGGTGCAATTAATAAATCTTCCCGCGGGATCTGCCGCGACGGGCTGGGCGTGTTCGAGCGGCTAGGCGAGGGGGAGAGAGATGCCTCTTCCTTTGGTGGTCCTTTCGGCGAGGCTTCGCCCTCGCCGTGGGAGATCCTCCGATGGCCCGGGTCACGAATCGAGCCAAGACGCACCTATGAATTATTTCCCCCCCGCGAAATTATGCCGACGCGAGACGGCGCGCTTTCATAAATCCGCGCCTCGCGGATTTCCCGCGCGCGGCCGCGCGTCCGCCGGATGACACGACTCGGCACGATTAATTGATGTAATAATTGAGAGGTCGAGTCTTAAATTCATCCCGAGAGGAGAGGAGGAGGGAGAGAGATGCATTCCACGAAACGCGCTCTATGCGTGCCGGCGGTTCTCTCTTCCTCCGATCGCCAGGATGGCACAGGGACGATGGGTCCTGCCCCTCCGCGTCTCCTTGGACTTCGTACCGAAATAACTCCCGATCCCGCCGTGTCGCGGAAAAACGTTTCCCACAAAAGTCCTAGCCGTATACGCGACGAACAACTTTCATCCTAAGCATTTTCGCCCGGCGCGATCGGTTAGCCCGAGAAATCGGGTTCTCGCGGAGTTCCGCGGTCCACTCCGGGCGCCGCGTTACCCTCGCGGCCCCACTTAGCATTTCTGCATCCGTGTTACTTGTCGCGCCGTTTTATTTCGCCGGATTTGCATTAATTGAGGCGTGTCCGATTAAAATGCGTGCCGATTTTAAATTCCGTACGTTGCGGCCCTCTTATCGGGGGATACTCTGGGAGCCTATGCGCCGTTTCGTTGGTTTTCCTTTTCGCTCCTCATTTTTTTTTCTCTTTTTTTCATTTATCCCTCTCCCCAATTTTTTCCCCTTATCTCCTAGAGTCGTTCTAGCTCGTCATACGAGCGTCGAGCCGTGAATGGCCCTTGCGGGCCTCGAAACGTACGCGGAGGATACGC